GAAAACTGACATGGACTGCGGCCATGGGTTAGCTGATACTTGGTAGCCTGTTCCCTTACTGCATTTATCTCTGTAGCAATTTCTGGGGTTTTCCAGACAGCTTTTTTTGTGTACCTGAGTAAATGCCTTTAAAATGTTAGCCTAAATTAAATGGAATCTATTTTCTTCTGTTGACACCCAAATTAAGTAACACTGCTTTAATCTCTTATTAATCTAGAATACCACTAAATACTTCTCTTGCTTTACATCACTGTAAATTGTGTGTTTGCACATACCTCTAGGAGTTTGCAGCAATGTAATTTATTTGATAGTTACTATAAAACTTGTGTTTTGCCAGTTTTAAAAATCTAAATGAGCAAATAAGTAATTTGATCCAGATATTTTCATAGCTAACTATAATAGCACTTGTGTGCCACCATTGTGTAAAACAGTACACAGAATTAGTAACTGTAGATGTAAAAAGGTTGGAAATTCTGGTTCATGTTTGTGCTGTAGCCCTGCATGCAAGGTAACTACTACTAATTAAATCAGATAATTAATCATTGTTAGAGTAAAACCAACATTGCCTTTAAACTGCAGAGCTCACATGATATGCTTGTCTGCTTTTTTTCATAGCCAAGGGTAGTAACTTATCTTATTGCTAAAAATGGATCTCAATGCACATCCTTTTGTATCCAGGTCGGTAGCCTGGTTCTCATCTTGTTCTCCTTCCCTTGCCGTCTCAAATATAAAACTCATGTAAAACCTTTTGTTTTGCTCTGCTATTATTTCCAGCTTGAGTCCTATGAATGTGCAGAAATCATGTGGTTTCCCTAGCAAGTGATTATGATGAGCTTGTAACTGTGTGAACAGCAGTGATAAACAGTTGTTGACTTCTTTTTTTTTGTGTCAGAACTGAGATGTACCCCATAGTGTGGCTCCAAGGTTTTCTTCCAAATTAAAAAAAAAGCTGAGACAGTAGTGCATTTTTAATGGCTGAGTCATCTGCCTCTCTCCCAGCACCAGAATCTCATTTTAGGACTCCTCTGAAATTCATTTCCACTGGTAGGCCTACAGCCTGTGCTAATGCAATTTATATTATTGTAGTAGCTGATAACAGTGATTTTTGGATGTAATTGTTTTTGAGATAGCGTGGTGCCTTTGACTGAAGGATTTCAAAGTATCTCAGAAAAACATTTAGTTAACCAATACCTCAGCTTTACCAGCAGCTTTGCTGAAGTAGATTATGGTCTGTGCACCTAGAGTGGGCTGTGAGAAAGCTGACCTTCTGAAAACATTACTTGTTTACAGTTTTTCTCTTCAGCCCACATATTTGCATTTCTAATTAAGGGAGTGGTAGATCACTTTAGCTCATAAGAAAAAATACCTCAGGTTTATCATTGTTATGGCACATATGGAAGTGATTGCTCTGCCTGTACAATAAAAAGGTCAATCTGAAGAGATTTTCTTGCATCCTCATAAAGAAAAATTGTACAACTAACATTTGAAATTTATAGAAAAACTGCACATTTTGATACAAAAGAAATAAATTTGTAACATGAAGTATAATGAAGTGTTGTTCAATACCATGAAAGAGTTGTCAGTGCATCATAAAAAAAAGATCCTGTGCACTCCTAAGTTGCAAAACACTGTTACTCATGACATCTCAAGGTATATAAAAGTGATTAATTTTTAAGGTTCTGTTTATTACAGAATCATCTATTAGCATTTAATGAGAGTACTGTCAAGACTGTGTAGGAAATAGTTTATATTTAAAGGGATGTTACAATTTTAAACATTCCAAAATTAATAATTCATCTTGCTATTATGTCTTGATCCTATAATGTGTCCTGTGCATGCAACTTTTCTGTGTGAAGGGAATCCCACTCGCTTCAGAGCAACCCATTGGGGGCAGTTGGATTTGTTTGTCTGGGATGCCATCTGAAACCAGGCCAAGAAACACGGTCTTAGCACTTCAGGCTGCTTATTGATCTGGTGACTGTGTTGGCTGTAAGAAGGGAAAAAAAAAGGGAAAAAAATTTTTTTTCTCTAGGCTTCAAGTGTCTGTCTCCATTGCTGACTGCACCTCTGAAAAGTCAGGTCTTTATCATTGTCCAAGAGCAACTGTCGCCTTTTTCTCCTGAAAAGCTCGTGACTAGACTAAATGAGGATTTAAAAGAAGTTCTGTTTTTAGGTCTAATAGTAGCTTGTCAAATCTTGAAGCTTTTTGCCTCAATTTCCTAATCTGTAGAACGGGCATAATGATGCCAGCATCTTTCTTGTGGTGCTTTGAGATGTACTGATTAAAAATGCCACTCTGACCTTTTCTGTAGCTACTATCCCCTCGTAAAAGGCCTGATTCTGTTAGATGTTACCTGAATGGTAATGAGACTTCTTAATACTTGGTAATGCTTAATATTTAATGTTTAGCCTGTGCTCAGTACTGTGCAGAAGTAGGTCCAAATAATGATCCTTTTTTTTTCCTTTTTTGTTCACTTCAGGTTTTTCTTTATTTTGCCCCATTACAAACTGTGTTGTATTTTCTATTTAATGTTTTGGAAATCTTCAGCTAAACTAACAGGAGGGCATTAGTTTTGCATCCTGTTCAAAAGAATTAGGAGTGCAGCTAAGCTGTTGCCACCATGGCTTCTAGTGTTAAATTACATATGTTTTCTCATAGTTTGGGGCTAAAATATCCTTGAGTCCCATGCATAACTGTTAATTCTGACTGCAGCAATGCTCACTAATACTAATGAGTGTGGGTCTGATGGATGACAGAATGCTTTTCTGCCAAGAAGCCACTTATACCTCCTGCAGCTGCTGTTTTTGCTGTTCAGCCTGGAAGGAATTTTATAGACCTGTTCTTCCTATTCCCCAGGAAAAAAAACAACCAAGTGTGTTTCAGGAGAGAGAAGAGGCTGAAATTCATTCCAAATAAAAATGTTGACATATTAATAGGATCCTTTTGACAGCTTCTTGAGGTAAAGAAATACTAAGACATGAATATATGTGATTTCTCTCTCTGAGACCTCCTATGCCCCATCTTCCAAATATACTTAATATGTTAGCTAAGTGCACTTATTTGGTAGCTTGCTAACATTATAGATCATCTAAGGAAGCTTCTTAGTAAGTTTGTACTCCATTTAAGCAAATTGCAAACTGTCCTCTAGTCAGTTAACAAAGCTTCTCAGGTAGCTGAAGCAATTTAATAATTCTAGTACGGAGAAGGTAGAGTAAAATTTCTCCTGTCCTACGATAAAGGTAAAAGTTTATTCCTAGATAATATGGTTTTGTTGGTTGCATATGAAAATAATGCTCTTGTATTTATTCTAAAGTTGTGGGACAAGGTGACCACAGTAAGGAATCCAGTGTTCCATCTACTCCTTATATTTACAGAGATAAAGAAAGCATAAGACTGAAGAAGGCAGAAATCTGATTAGTTTAAAGTGATTATAATTTGTTTTGCTGTAGGTCAACAGCTGTCTAGAGGATAAGATCAAAACCTGTTCTACTTTGCTTTCTTTGGTCTTGTGCTGAAATTGTTTTATTTTTACTACTTGGCCCTTTTCCCAGGGATTCTTGGGAATTTAGCTCAAATGAATTGGAATGCTTTTTTCCCAACTGAAGAGTGAATTGTTCTAGGTGCAAAAATTACACTTGCTTTATTAATGATTCCTTTACATGACAGTGTAGAGCCTAAAGGCATCAAATCAAGACTCGAGTAATCCTGTTTAGAACTTGGCTGTTTGATGAAACTGCAGCCCTTTTTGTAGAAGTGCCTAATTTTATGCGCCAAGAAAGTGAGATATTTCAGGAGGTTTCCAGAATGATTTCTTTAGGCAACAAATTAATGGCAAGAGTCATGAGAGTCAGCAGCAAGGAATGGAGGCAATTGGTGCAAATATTGAGCAATCTGAAAGGAGCTAATAACAAGGTATAGCTCAGAAAATAATACACAGAGGGTGCATATATTTTCTGTGTAACTCATATACAAAGATATAATTCTCTAATCTTGAGAAACTGATTTCTTAGTGGGGTGGGAAAGGAAATTGTGTTGTTCAGATTATGGGTTTCCTGAGTTATGCTGTGATCAATTTTTCAGAATTTTATTCTTAGGTCTCATATGTGGCCACCTCTGAGTATGCACAAAATCTTCCTTAATTACTTCTGACTTGCTCTCTTATAAGCTGATCTATTAGGTGGTAACTGATGAGAAGAGGAATAAAGGGTTATTTTAATTTAAATTAATCTCTTTGTGACAACAGGGTTTGGCTGAGCGGATCTATTTATTACTAGGACCAGCAGGTCAGGTGGCTAAGAGTGTTTCAGTACTGTTTTATTTAAAACACACTTTAAAATACACACAGCCTGAAATTCTGACTTCATGATTGATTATATAGCTGGGGGTTTGGATGTTTGGGGAGTTGACCTCACCACCTGATCTGGAGAGCTCAGCTTCAGACAAGGTTCAGTGTACAAGGTGTTTTCAAATTAGCCGGGACCCACATTGTGGCTACACTGCGATTTGTGAAGGAAATTGACAAATGAAGAGCCCAGGGATAAGTATTGACTTCTTGTTTTGAGAAGGAGTATCTGTGTTCTCTAGCCTGAAAGCCCTCAACGATATCTTGTGAAGTTATTTGTTTCACGGATCATTACGTTAGAGAGGCTCTTTATGCCTTAATTTCATGTTCATATTACTGTGCTGATGAATTATTGTATATGACAATGCCCTTTGTAAGGAAACATTAGCACAAAATGATTTTTTTTTTAGATTGCAGGCCCATAGGTAGAGATGCTTCTGTAATTACATGCAACGCACATCCTGCTCCTGTAAATTCCAATTAGCAAAAGCAAAGAGGCAGTTTGATGGTCAGAAAGCACATGGGCAGCACCACGCAGGTGGCTGACACTGGGATTGGAAGCAGCCTGGTGCTGTTAGGATAACCCATGGCCTGTGCTCTGCTGAGGGAGCCTATTTATAACCTGCTGCAGGACTCTCCTTCAGTAGAGCCTGTTGATCCCCTGGTACAGCAAGACAGGAACAATACTGTGATAGCGTGGGGAATGTGCCCCTGTCAGGACAAGAATTTTTCTTTGTTTTATGAGCATCATTTATGACCCTGACCTTCAATGCAGGGAAAAGTATCAATTTTATGGTAGTGGTGAATGCTTTTGGGAAGTAGTAAGAGGCCAATCAAGGTCTCAGCAGATGTTTCCACTGTGGTAGAATAGAAGGGTTGCTACTAGCAGAATCACTGATTTTTATGTGAACCCTTCTCAGCTGCTGATAAAGAAGGGGAGACAAGGCAAACATGAGAAAATTTCAACTAGATGATGAAGAAAAATGATAGCACTCCAATGCTGTAAAAGTAAAGAGGGTAAGTCCAACTTCCAAGTTCCAACTTCTGCAAAGGAAGGGATCAATGCTCCAAAGGAAGATATTTTCCAAGTATTTGTGGGGTTTTTTTTGCAAATGTTGCAATGCTCCAGCACTAGCTAAAAATTGAAGTAAATGTTTGTAGGAAATTCCATTGAATGTTTTGTTTGTTTATTTTAAACACAAACCAGAGCAGCTACAGCTAGCTCTAATTCTGGGAAAATGTGCCTAACAGCAGACTTGAGTTGGACCTTACCATTGGTAAGGCTGTGTTCTTGATTCTGGGTTCTAGGACTAAAATATCCCTTTCAGAGGGCTTTAGACAGGATTTGTATATCCAGAAATTTTCTGGAGAGACCCAGCAGTAAAGACAGTATTTGGAATCTTGCCAGATTCAGCTGGCTTGGAAATGTGTGGGATGCAACTGTTGGGTCCAATTACTGCAGATTGATGATTCCCTTTGAAAGGGACTCAGCCATGATATGATAAATAGTAAATTGACTTTCCTTTACGTTTTTCCAAAATCTTTAATGGGAAAAATTATATATGTGTATGCAAATACTTCCTGAATCAATAAAGAGATGAGGCCATAAAAAAAAAAGATAGTCTGTTCTTACATTTATTTTTCCATGGGTAAAAAGATGTTTCCTCTCCTCTGATATTTTCCTGTATTTCTCAGCTTTTAACAATTTCAGAATGGAAAGAGAAGGGAATCCTAAAGAGATGTTAGAGATGATCAATTCAGACTTCTCACCATTTGCCTGTCATCCATCTGTCCTGGTCCCCAGAGCGTGCTGTTTCTTATTGATGGAAGTGAGTATGTTTCCTGCAAGCACTTCAATTAAGAGAACATGTTCTCTTTTTATTTGCATTTTTCTCTTTAAGAAGTCAGCACTGTAAATTAATTTTTAACACTTTCTAAGAATTAGTATTAAAGGAGGATTCTTTTAGTTGATATGTTTGTGAAATGTATTTTTTTAAAATGGAAATATCCTTGAATGGATTTAAACCATTTTCTAAAGTTTCTATTTTTTTTTTAAACTTATTCATTGGTATCTTTGAAATCAAGTGGCCTGTGCTCCTTCAGTGATCTACAGTTAATGCCTTTGAGTCCTAAAGGAGAACTGTGCATTTTGCATTCATTAATTTGGGAAAACTGAGAGGTTTCTACCTTCATGAAGGACCTATTTATTCTCCTAGACAGCTCAACATTTCTGCTAAACTGGACCTTCTGTTTAAATGCTTAGAGCCTTGAAGTTGGTGTCTTTGCTCACAAGAATAATATCTCTGCTTTCTATGATTCTTTCCTGACTGTAGTACATTTTACCAGCTAGTGAGTTCTCTCTGATAAACATAGTCATAAGTAATAATACTTTGTATTTTTAATTGGTAGCTGTTGGCAAACAGATTCCATTATCTGTTCTTAACTTCTTGGCTATTGTCAAGCTAGCTTGGATTTGGATGTTTTACTACCTTGATGTGTGAGTTGCTTTTATTTGCTTTGTAGAGAGCAAAAAAAAATTGCTGTAAAATCTGTGTTGAAAAAAGCAGTTGGTAGTAAAAAAGATGTTCAGTTTTCTAAGTAAGCACATGTTTTGGGTTTTTAACAGTGTGATTCTGTCAAACTTCTTGGAGCAGGAGACCTTTAAGTGTACTTATTACAACTCCACATATATCACTTAGGCAGGCAACGTGTGAATTCTTATTCATAACTGAAGTGTCTGTCATTAGATGCTGATTTGTATTATAACGTCAATAGTAGTCAAATTGGTTCCTGGGCTCCTATTGTATTTTCAAAGCTTGTTTTTGTCTTTGTTTTTGTGTAGTACTGATGACACATCCATTTAGGAAAAAGGAATTTTATTAATACTCCTTCAGCAGGAAGGAGTTTTGGCACCTACATCAATGCTGATAGTAGAGAGCATCTGCACTGTTTGCTGTGATCATGCAGAGAAAGAGTTGACTTCGTTTCTATAGCAGTTATTTCTATAATTTCCCTCGATTGCAGTCTACTTTCATTTAATTTGTGCTCAAGGGCCCTTCACATAGAATGATTTCTGCTGGGTGAAAGATCTTGCTACAGCTGAGAGGTCACAATATAATACACTCTATTGATTGTAATGAATACTTGGTGTTTGCTGTATGCAGGAAGCATGGAGGAATCCATTTTTAATCCAGAAATAAAGGTAAAATATGGATTGATTGTATCTACAGCTTGCAGTTGAATTCATGGAGGCTTGGTTTCAGTTTTGAGTGGTCTGTCACCAGCTTAACTATACAAACTCTTTGGATTTTAAGTTTACTTTTCTATGACAGCCGTTCTGTGGTGTTACTGTTGCCAGATGTACATCTTAACAAAGGCCTGCAGAGGACCATTACCCCTTTCACAAATTTAAGAAAATAGATAATTTAATGCAATTTGAGAAACAAGATTATAATTTTTATAAAAGAAAAAAATATTTACTAATTCTAACATGAACATAATCTTTTCTAGCCAGCAATGAATAAAGATAAATCAATTCTATTTGGGAAAGAAATTAGAAGAGGATGAGGACAAGGCTATTCATTCCTCTCCTTTCTTTCTTTGTTCCCAGGACTTACTGGACCATCTGTGTGCTTCCTGTCTGCACAGGTCACAAGTGTTCAAGTTGTTCCCAGGTTAAAAAATCACAGCTTCTGCTTTAAATTCCCTTCTCTATGCATTTCTGAAGGAAGGAAAAGACTCATTTATGAATGTCTGGGAAGGCCATACGAGGTCAAAAGCACTCTTAATGATGAAGTGTTCCTTAGCTGAGCAATACAGCTGGAGACAACACTTCCAGTTTTGTTTGTAGGTCCTGGCAGTACTTGGTGAGGGAGAAACAACTGTGCTGTGAGATCTAGAGAACAGGCGCTTACGTATATAAGATTCTTGGCCATCATTCTGCATCATACTGCTTGACCATTAGTGTGACCATCTCAGAAACAGGGTATTTTTCCCCCTGTTTGAATTCAGTCTCCCTATATAAAACCCATTTGTGTATTCAGGAGTTAATATGCTGAAGAAAACACAATTCTGTATATATTTTTATTAAAATCCAATAAAGTCCTACTTAAAAAGGAGAAGGACTGCAATAAAACATCAAAACCCATATCCAGCCAGCCCAGGACAAATCTATAATGATATAAATTATGCCAAATTTTTAATTTCAGAGCTACAGTACATCTACATGCTATGGTGGAATTTGTCTCAGGATTTACTATACCAAATTGATATCAATCTGCTCTACAAATTTGTCTCTGAATGTGGCCAGCACCAGATGTTTGAGAGGAAAGGTGGAGCCTGCTTCAAACAGATGGAGCTAATGTGTTCTTTGCATTAGGTGCCCTTCTGAGTAGTGGTTAGATAAAGATCTAAGTCCAAAAGCAGAAAATGTGTTATTATTATCATCATCATCACAAAATTTATGGAAACTAGATATTTTTTCTGGTGTCATACATGCGAGTTTGCTTATAGTTTTGAAAAAAACCCTTTTATTTAAAGCTGTTTCAGTATCAGCAAGTCTTTCATCTGTGGCAAGAAGATAAAACTGTATCTCCAGAGAAACCCAATTTGTGACATCAACCCCCGAACAATTAGCAGTAGGGGAGAGGAAGTGTCAAATTTTGGAACTCTTTTTAATGGGATCTCATATGTAGGAAGAAGGTTTACATTTATTAATTTAATGTTTTACAACAACTGTAATACATAATGAAACCCTTTCTAGGGTTTCTGAACCTTCTGCAGCAGTCCTGCTTATTTTCATGCTCATCAGAATTAATATGAGTTCAGTTAGACTATTGAGTTTCAAAGTTCATTTCCTATGATTATGGTTTAAGTCAGGATGGATGGAGCTCAGGTAGCCTTCAAATACTATGCAATAGTTAGAAGTGTATGAAGAAATTTGGTTATTTATTGTCTATGTGAAAGAGTGATTCTTAATGCATAGAAAGTAACAAAAAGTTACAGAAATGCCATTGTGTTTCCTTCCAAGGCAAGAACAAGAGTTGTCAAGAGTAGGAGTAGGGCATTAAGTGTGCTGGTGTGGGCTGCATGATCTCAGAGCTCAAGGTCAGGTTGTCCCAGAGGAACAGTTCTGCTGCAGCCTCTTTGGACTGAGATGAATGAGTGTTACGAGGTGGAGAGCATTTTCCAGATTGTTTGAATTTTGTGGCTGAAGGACAGTTGTGAGCTTTTGTTCTTTCAGTGTTTTAGTAAGTTGCTGGGTAAATGCTCTTGGCTAAATTAGTTCTGCTATTTCTGTCAGTTATAATTCTTTTTTCATTACAACTGTCTAGCTGTGCTTTACCTAACAAAGTTACATCCCTAAAAACTACGTAGCAGCACACAGAATGTCAAGCTGCAGTCTTCCAACATCAGCCTGTTTACACAAGCAGTATTGGCTCAATAGCCCATGACTCCTAATACTTTTCTTTTACAGAGTGCAAAAAGGGAATGAATCTTAGAATTTTAATAAGTAAAAAATAACCATCATATGAGGTATACAGTATTTAAATTAAAAAAAAAAAAAAAAAAAAAAGAGAAACAAGCCAGAGAATATCAGGTAGATATCCTGTAAGATATCTATCCTCATGTAGAATATTAGAGCTGAGACTGATTATTTTCCTCTCTTTCCCTCTGCACTGAGAACAAACTGATAACAGGAAAAACCACAGTCCATTGGAGTTTCTCTTATGTCACCAAAGGCAGGCTGGCTGCTAGGACTGCCTGGATTTCATGGTTGATGTGACCTTCACGGTGACAGCGTGTTGCCACAGGTGCTAAGGGATCATAGCTCATCAGACTCAAGAGATGGTGCTGTCTCAGGATTTTCAGCCTGATCTGAAACCATTGGAAAGACTTGTATTAGCTCTGGTGGGTTTAGTCCAGGTTATAACAACATCAGGAGTTTTCTTATTTTGTATCTTTATGACTTCTAAAGAGAGAATTAGCAGTAATAGCAAGGAAGGACCTAGCTCCCCTGTCTGTCACATGTGCATTGGAACTCTGAGTTCAAAAATTGGTGTGTATGCTAGTTTTCAATGATTACAGAAAAATAGTCTCACTAATACCTAGTTCTAATTTGGTTTTAGTTCTTAATGATTCCTAAGGTGGCTAAACTGAAAGATGAACAACAAAATTCCATTGAAGTTCAAGGACAGATAGTAATATTTAAATATGGCTTTTAAAAAAGGACAAAATCATTGTACTGAGGCTTTTCCTCCTAAATGTTTTTGCTGCCATTTCTTTAGTTGCTTTTAGACTGTTGGATGTATTTATAGCCAACTTGTATAAAACAAAGAACAGAAAGTCTGTTCCCCCTTTTAAGAGGCTTTTTTCATGTTTTTTTTTAACATTGGGAAAATGAAGTCTGTTTTTTAGTTGTTATATTGGAAGATATGATTTGGGTCAAACTTAATGATGGGCTTGTGATCATGCAGGAATCCCATCCTACTCTGCATCTAGTATTATTTTTTTTTTTAAACTCACAGCTCCTGTTGTATTTGATTCTGATAATTAGAAAACCATTTCCTATAGATGTCAGAAAATCCCTCCTGTTTTTCTCTCATATCTCTCCTTAAAACTGCCTATTTTAAAGCAATATCTCTTAAGAACTCTGGCAATACACTGGATACAGAAGTAATGAGCTAATGTACAGAAAAATGGATGCTTGTGGCTCTCTTTGTATGGTCAACATGTTCTTGTGTATGTTCCTGTCTCACAGATTATAAGTAAGGATGCAATGAGATGGTGTAGAGACATGATGTTACTGATGTATAATGAACACAGAAGATGAATTGCTGAAAATTTAAGCACCTCTAAGACATGCAGGAGAGGTGTTGAGATTTGACTTAATGGAGATTTGTCACATATAGAGTTCTTCAATGTAATAGTCCTCTAGAATTAGAGGAAATTGAGTTGTTAAATGCTGGTGAAGATTGAGAGTTTTATTTCTTTACATTCATATATTGTAGTTTGCATGGAAAACCCAGTCAAAGTACAACAGGCCTGAATTACCTATGACATCTTTGTCATTTGTCACAAAACAGAATAATTTTACTCAGATTCTGCTAGAACAGAAAACTGATCCTTGAACATGATGAAGGCCTACACTACCTAAGTCTTTGAAGGAAGAGACCTCTTCCAACTCACAACTAATGAAAAGCAGAGTTGAGCTTTATTTGTGGGCTACTTGGGCTTCCATTGCTGTGATCTGTGGTCCAGGCTGTTCATACAAACACTTAAGGGTAGCCAGGCAGTAGGTGGCCTGGTGTAAGATGATTAAGTCCCAATAAAAAGCCAAATCTTTTCATGCCTGCAGTATCTGATGCATTAACCTACACATAATGAGACAAATCTTTCTTATCTTGTACAATAGAGCTGAAACACAGACAATAAATACAGCTTCAAACCTCCCCAACCCCCTTTTACAAAGTAAGCTTCATTTTTAAACAGAAATGAGGAAAGTCATTTACTGCTGGCTTGGGTACAATACTCTTGTTATCAGACTAGAGTCATAGCTGCAGTAGCAGAAATGCATGGAAATATTATTAACTTCCAAATTAAGCACAGTATTTGTGAGTTGCAGTTGGGAGCAGAGGATTTTTAATTAGAAATCTTGACAAGGCTTAAATGAATTGTTTTTGTCCCAGTAAAAAGTGTGGCCTTGATAAATTTCTGCTACTGAAAAGCAAGTTAATTTCCCCTGTTCAATTCTTCTTTTAGTGGCTGTTATACATCATAGGAACTAATTTATGGGGGGAAGCACCGAGCGGGAATTGATGATTATTTTAAGAACAGATCAGCACAAAACTACTCACATGAGTAAAGCAGGCTGGGATTTGGTTCCCCATTCATACTCTACAAAAGCTATTACCAGGTGCTTCAGCAGCTGGAATCACTTCCCCCCCATCTTTGTAGCATATAAGAATGTAGCATAACCCAAAGGTTTGCACTTCATTCTGATACTTGCTGGCTCATGGGTGTGCTGGCATCACTTTTGTGCTCTGTTGCATTAAGTAAAAATAAATAATTAGTACTGTTTTACCAGTTTCAAACAGGTTAACTCTTAAACATATAGAGAGATGCTGTGTTCTCCATGCAGTAGGAAGCAGATACCATTAGAAGCTCCTGCCACAACTGCTTATTACCACTCTTTGTGGTGTGAGATGCTATCACCCATTCAGGGCTGCCAGCAATGCCCTCTTCTATCAAAATGCATTCTGTCAATCTACATTTGCAATGTAAACTGTTTATGTTCAGGTGGCTATTGTGGCCAAAACAGGTTAGAGAATGCATAAACAAGTAAATGCAGGGTACCCTCTACAAGCAGGGCACAATCTACTTGTTTCTTTCTTTCTGTTGGATTCAGTTATCATGATTGCATTACTAACCTTTCCTAATAAAAGCTGTTGCTTTTCCAACCAGCTTTCCCACCTCAGGAAAAACAAATCCTGGTGGAAGTCTATGGGACATCCACTTTTTTTCCTGCAAAAAGGCATTCTGGACTGATACATGTTAAAGCCACGTGGCTGCATGTTCAGGAGGGAATGTTCAGTGGTCTTTGTTAGAACTATCACAGTCACAGACCACGGCAGTGTTTCTCCAATGTGTTTGGTTGCAAGTTGAAAATGGCATTGCCACAGGAAAGGAAGAGAAATCAGAAATTCTGCTGTTTTTCAGAGGAACCCCTGCCCTGTTCATGACACTGTCTCCAAACACTAGAGAAGTGCTGGGGGAAAGCACAGAACAGATATCTGGAAAATAGACCATTTCTGTAAAGGATGGAGTTTTTTTTCAAATGCTGTGGATGTTGAAGGCTTTGTTAGCAGTCCCTGGGCAGGTGTAATTCTGATGGCTGGCTCCAAAAGGCCAGCCCAGGCTGCTACATTTATGGAGACACTGCTGATTCAGCTTCTGCAAAATTCTGTGGTCTTCTGAACACACAAAATTCCCAGAGCAGTCAAGGATTTTAAGGGAAGGATTTGGCCTCATGCTGTCAGCTTCAGTAATTATGCAATTCAATTAAATTCAAGGGGAAAAGTCACTTAGGCATTTTTGAAAAATCGTACCTTTAATGAAGAAGAAGGAAACAAACATATCTTTATATATCTATAAATACATAGTGTACATCCAGACTGTAGTATATATTGCAAGTTTTGCTAACCAAGAATAATTCCATTTTCCCAATGTGTTAGACTGTGCTCATCCCTGTGGCACATGACAGCCTTCCATTAGTGCATTAAGCCATATATCTTACACATCGCTTACATACTTATTGTCAGATTCTTCTTCTAGGAGACAAATCTTGTCCATTTGGATCTTTTATTTTGATGGACCTAAGGGATTTTATTTATTTGTTTTCTTTTTCAGTTTACATGCACCTACACAAATATGCAGATAAGGGAAAATCAAAGGATTTTGCCTTGCACGTTAACAGAAGGTACAAAGGTCTGCCAAAGGCTCATTAATCCATGGCTGATCCTGAGGTTTCCAACTTATCCTCTGTTGCTTTGTCATATGAAGCCTTACACAGGGCACTTGGAGTGCAGAAGGAGTATGCCCTGAATGCCAGCCAAATGAAAGAAGACAGCTGAGGGGTAAGTGCTAATGCTCCTGAGGGCTGTGGGATCTGAAAATAGACGGAAAATAATTGCTGCTGCTGTGAATTTTCCAGCATACATGTGAGAATATGAGGATAGAGCCAAATAGGTTCAGAAAGGATTTTCACTAACACCTGCCTGAAACTCAGTCTCTGTCAGGCACAGAGGGTCTGTCTTTGTTTAGATCAACCATTCAAGCACGTTAATGCAGCATCTACTGCCAGGTCTCCTTCACAATCCTGTTGAGTTTGGGACTATCTTCCTCTCTGTGTTTTTTTTTTTGGCTCATTCATAGCAAAATAATTCTGACTTTCATCTCTAACTCATCAGAATTCTGATGCTGGTTTGCAGCATCAGTGTCAGTGTTTTCCTTAATTCCCAACCAGGGGTAAGATGAGGATCTGGACAATTATCAGAAGACCTCCTTCTCTCCTGTGCTGTTGTAAAAATAACATTTCTTCTTGACATTACCTAAGATGTGTCCTAGGCAAATACCCTGTCCTACCTTTATTTACATATACTTCACAGCATTTTGTGCTGCAGTGACAGCTTTTACAGGCAAATTATTTATTCTTTCAGGTGTCTGAGGAATCTGGGGTCTCTGCATTGTGCTAGGCAGTTACACAGTACATGATTGCTGTGATGCTGAGTAGCATAATCAGCTTTTAGGAGCGTGTGACCATGAGCGGAGTGCATGGACTGGCATACCAGCTTTTAAAAAGAGTGAGTTAGCAGCTGGTCAGCTTGACTCTGGTGCACTACAGGGCAGGGAGGTCATCTGAACAGATTCAACATGGTGTGACACACCAAAGGGTAGCACAGCAGTTGAAGACTGATGAAGTCTAAAAAGTGGCATCTGACATATACAGATGTAACCATGTGAACTCTTCTTTCCCCTGCTTCAACTCATCATGATGACCTTTTGGAAGGGTTTCTCCAGTTGGCAGAAGCTTGGTAGTTCATTTGAGAGAATGAAGCTGCAGGGATTTAGAACTGAAAACATCAGTTCTAGAACTGAAAATGTCAGAACAACCTACATACCTTTTTCCCCTCCCAGCTGATGTAGACTAGCCCTTAACCGGAATGACTGGGTGGACAACTGGGTTCTGCTGGTTTGATCCCTGATCTTAAAAGCCAACTAGCTTGAATTTAGAGCCTTTGTCACATATATGGTAAAAGGGAAGTTTGGGTTATATACAGAAAATTGAGATTTTTGAGCTGCAAATTGATTTAATTGTGGTATAAAGACAAGTTATTTCTTCCACTGTCACTGTATGCAGCCTGAAAGAGTATTACACAGAAGACCATCTTTTACCATTGTGTTCTCTGTTGTGGAAGAAGGAGTTGGCTGGAAGAAAGTAAGAGCTCCTGGCAACTTTCATTACACAGGTTCTGGACCAGAAAAGTTTTTTCTCTAAACAGAGCAAAACTTCAAGGTTTTATCAGCAGCATTTTCCTGGCATGTTTTGTCAGCTGTGAGTTATTTCTATTGCTGCTCTCAGGTGGTGAGAACTGATTTATGGAAGAAGTATAGCTAGATTTAGGTAGTACTAGACTCAAACAGGTATACACTGACTTTCATAAAATTTATGATATGAGCTTAGTGCTACACTAACTTGGTAAATGGAGATTTGATTCACATCTAATTCACATTTTCCCAGTAATTTAACTTTACTCAATCTTGCCTATCCTTAGTAAGTCAATATCTTATATGTACATACATAAAAGGTAAATGCTGTCTGTATCAGACATGAAGCACTTTCCTTCCCTCAGAACTGTTATAATGAGATATATTTGCCCTCCGTGTAACATCTGATGATCTTGAAATATCTTAACCATATAATTTCACGCAATTTAGTCAAGACGACATAGTTTATTTTTGAATATAATTTATTCTCAAGCAGTCAGTTATTAAAATCTACTAGAGAACGCATTTAGATCTGTTTTAGCACTTATTTTTCTTCCACACTCCACAAAAGATTTAAAACATTCAAGTATCTCATTTCAACTCCATTATACTTGTGCTGCTTGCTTGACAGAAAATGCACTTTTCATAAACACGTTTTTCTTGTATCAACACCTAGAATTGACTGGGAATCAACAGAACAGAATTGGCTGCCAAGGCCTCATGTGAGCCACAACTCCTGAGAGCTTGTGCTTTGAATGCGTATCAGCTCTCTTTTAGAATCAGCGGGGTCACTACAGTCCCCAAAGTAGTAACCCAGGGCTATATACTTTCTTTTACCTCTTCTGAGTGTGTTGGAATGCCAATCAAATGACATCTCCTGAGGGATGTAGTGGTCAGAAAATACGTGTCCAATTAGGCTCCCAGGAACTCACCAGCTGCAGCTGGTGCTGCAGTGTTTTTCTTGCTATGAGGGAGAAGAAACATGGTCTGCTGGCAGCCGCAGTCTAAAGGATGTCCTTGAGACATCCCCCAAAATATTTGCATTATTGTCAGCTTGGTTTTTATCTGCATAGAGTCTTTTTGGTATCTGGGATCAGGATCTCCCTTTCTCATGCTTGGACTAGATGATCTGAGATGGACTTTTCTAAGCTTGAAAATTCAATGATTCAAATTGATTGAAATGGGCTCTCTCTGTGTTCCTGGAAGTACAGGCAGTCTGTGTTCCTAAAAAAACACAAGGTTTCAACAGTTAACAAGAGAAAGATTCTTAGGGTGATTTGTTTTTTGTGTTTGTTTGTGGTTTTTGTTTAAAATTTTCTTTTTATTTTCTTGAACTCTAAATAAATTGGGAAAAAATGGAAAAGGAAAAAGGAGTTCTACTCTACTGACTTGAAACATATATGGGCATGATTTTCATGAGCTTACTAATGTGACTGTCACATCTTTTACACAAAAATCATCATTTGCATTTTCCATGTAAGAACTTTGTATTCTTTATAAACTTGCTTGAATCCTGTAAAGAGAGCTGACAGTTCCTAAAGAGAAGAAAGACCACATTATTAGTATGTCACTTCTAGAAATGCTAATGGCAGGATGTGAAGGACGGCGTAATTATAGTGTTGCTCTAGTGATTCTTCAGTAAAGGTTTTCTCAGTACTTTAATAATAAACTACATATTTCAGCAGTTCAACTTTCTTAATTCTCAGGCAAACACGCTTTGGGTTTGATTCACACTTTGTGGTGTTTGTTGGTGTAAAAAAAGCCTCAACTACTCAAAGGCAAAGTCCCGTGCAATTGGGAGCAGCCACGTCTATGGAGGATAGCTGGGCTGAAGAGAAGGAGCAAGGAAAGAGCTGTCTTTTTCTGCATAAGAACTAAACTGTTGTTGAGAAGTAGGTGCACTGAAGTAAACAGGAGTGATAAAACCTCTGGAAGAGAACCCAGGGAGCGAGTTAGGCATATATCAAGCAAATTTGACAGGCCAAGCTGAAAATCTGCAGAATATGTAAATGAAATCAGATGAGGTCAAAGTACAGCAAGAGTAAGAGATTGCTGCAACTCTCTAGACAGCATTATAGGGACCTGCTACCTCAGCACATCTGAACTTAAGGAAGGCAACTTAACACAGGGAAAGAACAAAACCATCAAAATAACATCTCTTTGGATGTTTGTCCAGCAGACAGAATTCTCCATATTCTAGAAAATTATTTTTTAGTTGCTGAATCCATTTCTTCATTTGAATTCATTTCAAAGCTTTGGTCGAGGAAATTTACTTTCAGGCAATGTATACTGAAATTCCATTGGGATTTATATGCAATATTCTCAGACTCATGCCTATGAATTTATGAGTAAGAGCTGACTTACTATGTGACCAAACACTTCCCTGAAGCAGGGCCAAGAGAAGGGACAGATAGTTCTGTTAAGCTCTTTAAGAAAGAAATCTAAAAGCAGATATCGTTTGAACAACACTGCAAACTTCTCAAAACTGGAAAGCACAAATCCAATGATTAGCAAGATTCCTTTGCTCAGAGAACAGCAATTTGAGGAGCCTAGTCTGCAAAGCCTCAAAGACCTCATTAGGAGCTTGTAATCCTTAGTTTGTTTATGTTCTGTTACAAGGGTACACTGACAGTTTTGCCTCAAGAGCTGCTTGTCCTTGGTGGGGAAGAATATGAAGGTCAGAGTTTTAACTTTTGTGATAAGACAGCATGTTGTGATTGATTTCAGTAATGATGACATGGGAGTTGGGGAGGGGGATTGAGAGAGGGAGCAAACCCATGCAGTTCTGGAATAGCTCCCAACAGTTTTAAAATAAGAATGGGTAATACCTTGATTTCTTCTTGTTACTGTCTGTTGCCAAGCCCTCCCTCGCTCACCCATCTTTCTGCTTCAAGCAAAGGATTTTTGAAAGTGGGAGGTCTTAGAACAGTTCAAATATTTAATTTCCTGTAAAAATATTATTTTTGCTCTTTGACAAGCTAGGTAGAGCTGGCTTCATTCTGAGAAACCACAAAATTGACTGGAAAGCTGAATATATATCAGCTTTGGTAACATTCATTTTCTCAGGACTGTGCTACAGCTGGTTTTCTCCCCCTTCATTCTCCTGCTGAGATGCAGTGCTCTGCTGTGGAAATGGGAGTGCATTTATGTGCCTGTGTGTGGGGAAATAGCCAGCATTCAAAAATTCTTAACAAAGATTTATGAAGCAAATTATGTTGTTTGTTAAATTCCCAGATGGAAAATCAGAAACTCTGACACGGTGAGTAGAGAGGGTATCAGCAAAAAGCTGTGATTCAGGCAAATAGAAAGCCTCATGATTTAATTCAAGATGTATTAGTGTTCTCTTTCACTAATAACAAAAAAGGTGTTTTGCATTGCATGTGCCCCACCTGCTGACACCCATTATGGAATCCTGCATTCTCCATTTTTGTTTATTTGCTACTGGTATAGGAAGTAGGTGGCTTAGGGAGGGACAGTACCTACCTAGTAAATTTATAATAATACTGGTAATAGAAGGAATATGCTACCACAAATTGTTGCAATGCAGTTGATTTCAGTCTAGGAATTAGTAGGCTTGGGGAGAAAAACTGGTGAGCTGGGACTTGTCAAAAGAGAGATTCATTCACAGGCTGCCAGAAGCCTGCAGTACGGGGTTCTAAAGTGTTAGATCCCTTCCTCCTCTCCTTTCCTCTCCTCCCCAGACCTTTAGGTACCTCCCAGACTCACAAGCGTGGCACCACCGATGCTCATCCTGGGTGAAGAGAACATCCAGTTAACTGGGAGGCAGAGCCACCCCAGTTCCTCCAGCTGTTTGCTGATCTGCCACTACTACCCCTGACTTACAGGGGCAGAAACACAGCACTGAACAGAGACACCATGGCAGTACCAGCAGCTATTAATTTTCTAATTATGCAGGGCTGCATATTTTTGAATCGTGACACCGCTGTGTCAGCAAGTGCTGCTTGTCGCTAAGGTCTTTGTGCTGTGACTCATTCTTGCCTCATGAAGCACAGGGGAGCTGAAAGGCAGTGTTATCTGAAAATTTCTCATTTCCAACACTTTGTTTTTAGTAACATTGTCAATGTTTCTGAAAATCAAATTATTCTTCAGTTCAAAGGTTTTCCTTTAAAATCCTGCATATTGTGTTTCAAGTAAAAATGGTATTCACCAGCACGGAGGCCTTTAACTAACCCAGATCCTTCTGGAAATGCTGACCTACCACTTCTGTGTACTAATAAGAAGTAATAATGTTTTATTGCAGGAATTCCAGCTGTTATGGGGAATGATGCTGCAGAAGGACTGCTTAGTTTGGAGCATTTCTATTCCAGTGGTGCAATGACAAGTAAATCAACAGGTTTCAACAATCTGTATTTGTTAGTCTAGCCCAGCAGTGACAGGTGGGTAAACTGCATTTCTCATTGACCTGTCTTTTCATGCTCTGTTCCCTCCTATAGACAATGGTGTTGCATCTCAAGTAAACAGAAAATTTAAAAATTGAAAAGCCAACAAGTCAGTGCAATTGCAGGTGGGAGGCATTCCTGGTTCAGACAGCTACAGACAGTGGCTTTTTTTGGCTCTGTTTATCTGTGAATTGAATCCAGGGTGCTTAACATGTATGGAGTTACCCACAAATTTACAGTATGTGGGCAGAAATGACAACCCACTGCTGTATTTTGTTGCTGCTGTATTTTATTACTGGTGTGTGCTCTGTGTTTTCTCCATGGTATCTACTTTTACCTAACTGTAGCTATTAAATTATACTATCAGATAACAAGACCTTTTTAGAAGGCTGAATGGAATGGCAATTTGGCATAATGTGGATGAGTCTCTTGAAGTTGTTTCTTTTTCTCTTCTTTCTCCTCAGGGAAATGTCCATCATGAGTAGAAAAGTTCCAGATATGTTTCATTTGATGAATCCATAGTTATTGCCCACTTGTTTCACCCTGCTGTGCTTCAAAATGAGAGTCACTGAAATTATGTAACAAAACAGCTTAATCAGAATTTTAAAGAAAAAAAGTGGAATAGTTTAAAGCTTGTAAAGTATACGAGGTATGAGGATATTCTCTAAACTACCTTTGTACACTCTGGTAAAGTTTCTTACTTTTCAGAGCTGCAGTGGTATGAGGACACTAATGGAGCAGGTTCTGTGTTATGACTAAGAGGAAAAGAGGCTGAAAATTCTCCTCCTGTGATGCAGGTGAAAGTGTTACAATACAAGCTGCAGTAAAGGACAAGACTAGAGATAAATGCACTGTTTGAGAGAGAAGGCAAGGCATTATAAAAACATCCTGAACCACCTAGTGATGTATTTGTTCAGCAGAGCTTTTAAAAAGTGCACTAATGGCCCATTTTATATATCACCCCAAGTCAATGAAAAACGCCCATTGACTTAAATAGGCATTGGTCCAAATGCTGAGCTTTTACAAATAATTATACTCAGTGTACTGAAGTTACCAGTATTTCTCTTCAGGCTGAATGCTGCTTCCTCCACTGTGTGCCCTGACTTCAATAAATAAACAAACTTTCCCCTTTTCCTACTTACATGAAACCATGGTGCTTCCACCACTACTCCCAAACCACCTGGTAGATGTTGAAGTTTTTTAGATTGAAGCAGTAGTCTGACCCAGAAAACGCTGCTGGGTGGGAAAACCACATGTAAAATATGTCTTTGTTGCATATAATCTTACTGGAGCACAGTTGGTGGCTTTGGAAACCATGGGACTTTAGACTCTGTGTTTTCATTTCTTGCTCTTAGGCTGTTGTGTTATTTGTCCTCAAAACTGTCCTAATCCACACTTTCCAAGGAATTTCTTTTAAGTACAGTGGCAAAAAGGGTGACCAGTGTTCCATCCAGTGCACTGCCTCCTGAGCTATTTTTTTTTTTTCTCAACTGTTTGAACCATTACTTGATTTTTTTTCCCTTGTTAGTTTCCTTTGCTACTATTGCCCACTTTGATCTGTATTGAAACCCTCAGCAATATATTTTATCATCAGAAACCTGTCCAAAAATCTGTAATAGCCAATGAAGAATAAATAAGATGGTGTCTGGGAACAAAACTGGATTTCTTCCAATCTGCTGCTCTACTACTGCTAGCACTAGCAATAATAGAAATAGCAATAGAAAAATTCTGCTTCAATTTCTTGGCATCCTTTTGGCTCAGATGAGGGCATGATGATATCAAAGAGCATAAGCTGGTTCTGGAGTGGAATGAAGCCACTGGAATGTATCCTAGAGCTAAGCATCCACTTTTTAAGTTAGTACAGATGCCACCTTACCTTGTGTAGACAATGAAAAAGTCACAGTGGAGACTCAGTAAGACAAGGAACAGCTTACCAGGATAAAAAAGGAACTGTCTAGGCTTTCAGTGTTGGGAGATTTGGGTGTATCTGTGATGATCTCCTAGCAAAGTATTGGTACCTGCGCTGTATTGCCTTTTGGGAACCTGAGTACTTTACAACTTTTTATGTTTGTATCAGCTCAGGACTGATAACAACAGAAATTGAACTACTTATCCACCTTCTTTGTTTAGAATTTATTTATTTTTTAGGAATATAATCCTTCTCTCATGAATGATCCAGAGATGCAAACTAATAAGTGAATGAATTATAACATTCGTAGAATAATGTAGGTTGTAAGGGATATCTGGAGTTTACCTAATCCAACACAAAAGCTATCTGGTTCAGAGTTGCTTTTTCTCTCTCTTGGTAAAAAGCAGAGCCTCATGGGTCACTAAGAATGTCTTTTTGGATTCTCTGTATGCCTACATTTCAAATTCAGTAGGAAAAGGTTTATAATTTAGAAAAACTAGTTTAGAGCCTCCATACAAAAATCAAAATATTACTGACTGTGCAAAATATTGGGGAAAGTTTCACTGTGCTTGCAAGGAGGAAAATAATATGTAAATATCTTTTTTGCTGTTATTTTCAAGATGGAAAACTTGATGCAGAAGGGGTTATTTATACTGACAGACTGGTACTTAAACAAATAAGATGATCAGAGATCCACAGCTTGGAGATGAGTTACTGCAAATAAGCAAAGAGCTAAAAAGGATCTATGTGAATTATATAAATACAGAAAAATCTTTGTAAAGTGTTCTACAAAGGTATGTGATAAAAGAAACTAGCACAGTGTGTTCAGAGGTGAACCTGACAACAGACTAAAAACATTTTACAGTCATTTTCTGGCAACCTCACACAGGATCATGAGATGAGGTGGTGAATATCATCATGAAATGCAAACAGTGTCCTGTTAGGATAGGCAGGATGTTATTGTGTGATATATAATTAGGCCAGCACATCTGGTTTACTTCAGGTAGTATCATGACAGGTACTTTGCAAACATCCAGAGCTCCTGCTTTCTGTATCATGCGTGCTAGTGGCTTTGCAGCTGCCCTTAGTGCTGTACCTGTACTGCTCCGTTCCTGGGTCAGGTGGAGGTAGGTTTCTTGCACAACTCCCTGAAGCAGAAGCTATTTAAAAAGCCTTGCAATCAAAATAAAATAGTGTTTACTACTTTTACCACCTAATACTGCTTTGCAAGGCTCTGATATTTGGCTCTCCTGAGCCATCAGAACTCAGTTGAGCCTGACGTGGGTGGCCAAGAGTGGCAGGCAGCTCTGTGGGGACTCTTGAAATGATGTGGAGTTGCCTTGACTGTTGGCAGCTTGGAAAAGAGCAGCCTGCTCTTCAAAATGCTGCGCTCCGCAACGAGAGACTGAAATCAACTTCTTTCTTCTCTGGTACCTCCCCCTTTTCAGGCTGGGTTCCTGGGAGCAGGCACCATCTCTTAACCTATTTTAGAAGAGCTTGCTTTGATGTTCCTCTCTATGCTGTATTGCGTGAAATTTAAGTGAAACACTACCATTACTTTACAAAAGAAGAAACTAATACATCATATCTGAAGATAAAGAAAGCTGGCATTAACAGAGTAATTATGAACAGGTATGTTAGACAAAATTATTGACTTGTTTATGGGTGATTGTTTCAAAGGAGATGTCTACATCTACCTTCGCCATTTTCTATGTTAGAAATAATATATATCATATATATATATATAATGTGTTAGAGACAAATTGAAAATATAACTGTGCAAGTCCAGTGGCAGCTTCGGAGGGGGCCTCTGCCACCATCTATTGGTGAATGAGGGGAAGAGGCAGAGTGATCTGACCTTGCTGATGTTCCCTTCTGTACCCAAAGCACAATTTGCTTCATTTTGCGGCTCTGGGCTAACAAACCTGTGTTGTCTTCATCTTTCTGTGTGAGAGAGTGCAACAGGACTGTAGTTATGCCCTCTGAGTGAAGAACTGTCATAGACAAATATTAACATCTGGCCTGTTGTCCCACACACTTCTCAATGGAGCAGGAGGGAGCTTGTAAGTCACAGAGAAGAACGCTTTTCTAGTGTCAAGTATCTTGTTAAGTAATTTTACCCTGGTTTCTGGCAATGGAATAGGGCCCATTTTCTTTGCTGGTTTCAAGAAAAATCACACTGGTGCTTGAGTAGAGCCCTAATTCTGCTGACAAATCTTGGAAGAGTGCAAAACTAGAGCAATTGCTGGCATTCCTGCCCAGTCCACCAAGAGGGGCACTTGGGAAAGGACATCACTTACAAATAAAATGTTTGCAGAACCAATCTATGCCCCTAAAAAGAAAGGCAAGAAGGAAAGTGAAGAGGGCCATTGTCAGCAGCTGAACCAAAAGTAAATCTGCAAAGTTGTCTCTAGATATGGAATCAGTCTATTTTATTGGATTCATCAACACTGCTTGCATATGCAAATACCTCATGAATAAAGCTTTTGTAATGCAGGCTCCAAAATGAATTCAGGTAGAGTCAGTGATAGCAGTGGATGAGCACAGAGACAGTTTAAAAGGATTGCTTAGTTTTCAAATCAACAAATTGCTGTTATTCTACTTAATCCAACAAAAAAAGGAAAAGAGAACAATCTGGCAGCCAGGCGGGAAGATAGAATGGTAAAGGACATAATGTTCCAGTTATTTTAGGATCCATTTACACCATGAAACTGATGGCATTAGAGAACAGTTGTTGAACACATTTGGGGAACAGCTGTGTTATTGCTGAAGTGTAAAGACAAAAGTGTGCGTAGACCTGTCGGGGTGCTCAAAGAGAATAGTCTGGTGGTGGTGGGGGGAGACTTCTCTTCATTGTTAAACTATTAAACTGTGTTCTTACTCATTTAAACTGTGAGTAAAGAAGGACTGGCAGAGTCAAATGGCTTCATGAACACTCTTTATTTCCATGAAAATGGCAGTTATCATATATGATAACTTTGATAACCATATCAATCTTTCTTAAATAAGATTTAACAACTTGCATCAAAAATGTGCCTTCAACATTCATTCACAGATACTCTGGTCATTGTTAAAGTATCTCTGTTCCTTGAATAAGACACTTACTTTCCCTTTCTTTTTCCTTTTCTCTCGGTGGGGCTGCTATTTTGCCTGTGCTTCAGAATGGACCCACCACAGAGAAATAAATTGAGAATAAAGAAATGTGTCTCATCTCAAAATTATATGAAAAAGACTTCTGAAGTTGTCTTAAGGTAACTTTTGTTTTGGAAAAGATTTTGTTCACTATTTCACTCACTTATCAGAGCCTCCCTGCCAATTCCAACCTGCATGATGTGTTTGAAATCTGTATGCATTTGTTATTTTTGGATGAGTAACTGAAGCAAAAGGATGAACTGCTCTGTGGGAATTTTAGTATGTTTCACATTGGCTTATCTACCTGTTCACAGCCACATACATGTACAGATGTTGGACAGGGGTTCGCTGTAGCCAGGGAATAGCGAGTGTATCTCTGATGGTAAAAAGATGTTAGCTCAGGTCTGCTGGATGCAAGGGCTCTCAGAACTATTTTCAGAAATACCGAGTCAAACAATCTCTGCTTTTCTCACTGTCTCAGTGTGAGAGATATGACTGTCATCTCACTACTGTTTTGTACCTGAAAAATTAATATTTTCACCTTAGTGGATTGTTGGTGGTTTCTGAAAAGAAGTGTTAAAGTAGTGTCAATGACAGCATGCTGCTGAAGCATGGGAAGTATTGCACTGATGTGGAAGTTACTTAGTAGTAGCTTCTTGTAATTAGGGTGTCTTTTGTGTTTTCTTGTTGGTAGCACAGTTGCTTGCGCTAATTCTGTGCAGGCATATTGCACATTTTCTACTCTGCTATGTGAATAAATGTCCAATTTACATTAACAATGGTGTCCTTTCCTAATGCAAATGAGAACTCAAAATCTTCAGAGGAGATGAAATTCAATTTGTGAAGATCAGAGCAGGTGTTCCATCTCTCTTTAGTCTATATTGAGACAGCCATAATGCCACCACAACTTAATCTTGACTGATATTTCTTGCATTTACAGTTATGCAGTCTAGGACAATTAATATCAGCCTTTTATTATTTGTGGTGATTTAATGTCTTTATGTTAGATTATGGCTTTAAATTCAATATGTTCTTACTGTGCTATAAATTCAAAACACAAACACAGTTCTTGTTCCTGAAAACCGACAGATGAAAGAGAAACAAAATAAGGAGAAGAAACTACCTGCCAAACTGTGTGGGAAGAGAGAAACAAGCAGTATATATGTTAAAAAACCACAAGACAATAAAAAAATGCATCTTTTAAAGAGCACATGGTTGTAGCACTAACAGAGGCAAGAAATTTTAGTAGGGTTATTATGACATTATTCCTTTGAAATTTACCATCCTTCACCCTCTTTTCAGTATCACACATTTTCTCACTTGGAATGCTGTGGTGAAGGAAGTGCCCAAAAGTGCCTTTTAGTGCCCAAAAGACT